AGGAAGCACCAAACTAAATGAGTGCCTCCCGTCTGGCCTGAAGAGCTGGAGAGCTGTGGCTGGCTTCGTACAGGATTGGCAGCAGCACAACAGGTAGAAGGAACAAAAGAAAGAAAAAAAATCTCTAGTCGCATAAACCAACTATGTCTGACTACAATATGATGTTTTACAAGCTGTTCAGCCTTGGGACTGCTTATTATGAATGATATTAGAGACAGAAATAACACGTTACTCTAGAAGCGAACAGCACCTGATGAAATGTCAGTAACTGTAAGTCCCTAAAGCCAGCCCAGAGCACGGAGAGGGGCACACGTTGGCTGAGAACAAGCGCAGACAGCTATGACTGTGTAAGCAGCAAAAGCCCAAAGGGCTTCTCCTCACACACACCTGGAGACTGAAGATGAAAGTGAGGGGTGGTTGCAGCCAGTCCAAACAACCCAAACAAGGAATCAGGAATGGCAGTAAGCACAGAGACCTCGACACAATTGAGTTCTGAGGGTTTCATAAGTACTTACACAGTGGGTATATATTCCCCAGGAAATGCATTGGTTGTGTAACTGATGAGTAGGCATGTTTTACCTACAGCACTGTAAAAAGAGAAAGTTCACATGTAAGACACATTCATCTTGAATAATGAGAAATAATATTCCTTTTAGGGAAGAAGACTGATTACATCCAGTCATCTAAGGAACAATTGAGCATCAGTAGTCACTATTGTGCAGGAAAACAGCTAATAGACTGTAGCCTTAAGATTACTGGCAATGAAGTAATATAAACATCCATTTTGTAACGTGGTAAATTACCAAATTTTGTTAATCTTTAGACAAAAAAACCAACCACAAGTATTAATAAGACTACTAACATCTGCTAGTCACGTGACTGAACACTGCCTAACTCCAACTCCCTGAAACTAAAAAAAACCCCGAGAAGTATTTCCAGAGACCCTTTGCACAATTCCAAACCTGCTCTTTCCCAGAGAATGGTACACTTTCCCATAAAGTTTGAAAAAATTGAAAAGTATAATTTCTCAACACATCGTTACTTTTGAGTATTTGAGAAGCAAATACAAATTATAATCCAAACAATATTTATTGTTATTGCAAAATGACTCCCCACATGTATTCATCAACGATTCAAACATTTCATAAACTGATTTACAGATAAATTGCTTTCTAGTTCTGGAGAACTTGGAACACTGAACCTTTCCCCACCAATCTAATTCTGAACGGTCTCAAACGGGGCAGGACAAGGTTCTGTTCCAGGCTTCTTTCAGACCTCTACAGCCAGCTCCTTCCCTCGCCACCCTCCTCCCCTCATCTTACCTACAGCCAAACATTAGATTAATGATACCGTTGAATTTTTGTTGCAGTTTCAATTAAAAGGTTGGAAAACTTGAAATTGGACCATATTTATTTTTTAAAATAGACCCCGCAAAGAGCGTTTCTGACACTGCAGACGGGTTCCCATGCTTGCTTCTCACTCGAAGCGCATACCCCTCTAACTGTGAGAGATTCCAGAGGCGAGGCTGCAACCAGTTCCTCAAAAGCCGTAACGCCCAGGCAGCCTTAGAGTCTTCCCATCACTCTTCTCCAACAGACCAACTCCCACGCAAGGAAAACTGCATTGTCTTGCAGATGTTTTGCCACCACAACAATTTGCTCAAAGCACGTCAGCAGTAACTTTGAAACCTTTCTGTACTCTAATCCTGGCATTAGTATTAGGTTTGACTCCCGAGCCTCCTGAATGAAATCTATCACAAGCTGAAGGAACCCACTGAAATTTTAGTCTAGAACTACAGTTAATATTAAACGAAAAACAAACTCAACCCAAGAACCAAATGCTACTGCTAAGAATATCCTATTATCCTTTAGCTTCTGCAGAAGAAAAAAAGAAAACTCACAGAAACAAGCTTTAGTCAAGAGCTTACTAGCTCTCCAGCTGCAAACATTCTGAGGGACTCATATTTGAATTTTACTATATATCTTCCACTTAAATCACTGCATTTCTTCTCTTGGTTTGGAAGCATGCAGACTGTCCATTCACTTACCAAAGACCGTCTTCAAAACGTTATTTAAAATGATCTGACACTCAACAGTAACCAACCAGCCTTACCTAGTGACTCACAACTTAAGGCAAGTTAAGTAAATTTGAGCTTTGTCACAACCATAAATTACTGTGTATGTTGTAGCTCATTCTGTAACAAGTCTCTCCATTAAACTTTAAGCAGTTCCATACTGCCTTAGTCCAAGAAGTTATTTGATAGCAGCATCTGACAACTTTGCCTTAAACGCCTGAGCTACAAGAGAGTTGCGCCCATGTGCAAAATTGTTTAGGATTTTATCCTATGTGCCCATTTTTCAATTGTAATTTTATGTTTCTGAGCTGCCACCTAGCATAACATCCCATCTGCTGCAACCCTCTCTGATCGTACCATGCATTTTTCCACACCACTTTTCACACCTGCTTCTAAGGAAACAAGGTACCAGCTCCTTGCACAGTCCGAGATCCCCCCCGCTCCAGCACATGCTCTCTTTTACCAAGCTACGACAACAAAAAAAGGGGGCATTTTATTCCATTCTTGGTAAGTACAATCTCTGAACATTTTCCTGTTAGTAACAGGCTCAAGATATACTTGTGCTCAGAAGTAGGAAAGGGATTTACCATTCAAAAACTTCTGTGGGAAAGAATCAGGGAGCAGTACGACAGCAGAGCTAAGCTACTTTAACAGCTGTCCAAAGAGGAGATCCAGTCTTATCTCTTGCACTAGCACTCATCGACTGTAACAAGCCAGAACAAGGAGTTAAGGAAAGCTCGTCACTCCGCCTCCCCCACCAGGACAACTTGCTATTTTAGCTCCCTGAGCTATCAGTTAGATCAGTTTGAATATATTACTCAATTGCACTCGCAACATGATAAAGCAGGCTATGCTGGTCCGGCTAAAGGACACAAACGTGAAAACCTTCAAATTACCGAGAGGCGCAAAAGCCAGCTTCTTTGGGAAACTTCTTGAGGCGCAGAGGCTACGTGCTCTCATGCTTCTAGAGCCTGTTTGGTCTGACACTTCATTTTCCAGGAAGTTCATTACAGGTAATTTAAGCTTCCAACAAATTAATGTTGAACTCAACATTTTGAGCAGTGGATCAAGAACTTTTCTCTGCTCCCAGGCTCCTTTGCTCATCCTGCACTGAAACTGGCGAGTCTGCTCTGGGTAATCAAAGCAGCACAGGAAGGAGGTGGTGAGAGATTTCATTCCAAGCTTAAAAGTGCCTGTCCTGTGTTTCTGCTGCACCAATCAGCCACAGTCATTTTAAACAAGAAAAAACATGTTCAACAGCCCTGTTTCAGACTTGCTCCATCTAGGTTTCCTGCTTTCCTTGCCTTTTGGCTCACTGCCCTACGAATCAGATCATTATGGTCACCAGCCTTAAAAATAAACACTAATGCCTACCTTTATTTATAAAGTACATCCTCTAAGTACTTTACAAACTTTTTTAGACTTCTGGCTTCTGTATTAAAGCAACTCCCCTAAAGAGAATTCCAACCGTTTGGCAAAATATAAATCCTTGTACATAAAGGCTAAGACTAAGAAACTGAAATAACACCCAACCAAGATTAGTCATAACAAGGTTTCTAGCAACTACTTAATCATAGCTCTGTCCACACACTATTACATAAATGAAACTAGTAACATTTGACTGTAATTAAAAATATGACCTACAGAAATCCAGCATTTCCACCACTTAACAATAAGTGAAAGGCTTACGAAAGACAGCACCAGATCCCTTATTGCTTCCAGGTACCATCCAGGAATGAATGTATTTATATAACCACATATGTATTAAATTCCGAAAACAAAATATGTCATCTCTTTCCTGGCCTTATTTACACTAACAAGTTTTATGAAGTTTCCCCAGCGTTAGAGCTGCCGGAGCCACGCTGTGTGCCATGTGCTGAAAACGCCATTGAAGGACCCGCACCCGCATTTCTCACTCTGAAGGCACCAGAGCTGCGCAGATGGCTGAGTCTCCCGCTTTCCCGCAACGAAAGACTAATTCTGAGCATTTAGTTTCCATCTGCAGCCACGGTAATGGCGGCCAGCTGAAGTACTTCCCGGTTTAATCCCAGAAACACCGATATCTGCAAACAGGCGGCAGCCTCCACAGAGAGCTCGGCTCACGCGATCCACCTGAACTGCCGCGCCAGAGACACCACGCACAACAGCCCGGGTCTTCACCTAAATGTTAAACAGCAGCTGAGGTCTCTATAGTACCATCCTCGGACCAAAAGTTCCATATTTTTCCTATGGTAGGCTCAGTTACATGCGGCTCTGCCAGAGAAGCTGTTTTACTCACGATGACATATCCTCTCCCAGCTACGCTGTTCAGTACCTACACTACTACCACTTTTTTTTAAACTTCACAAGTTCAGTAAAACAAGTTACTAAATTTCGGGTCACTGCGCTCTCTGCCGATTGCGCTGGAGACCCAAGGTGTTCCGCACCTTCCACAGACACTGCACTGCTCAATACCGCACCCCCCAAAGCTATCAAATCAAATACAGCGCGGCTTTAGCAGACAAGGTCTCAAACTCAGCAGGGTTCCCAGCGGGGACTCTTAAATCACGGCTCTTGCTCTTATCGTATTTCTACAATTAAAAAATGCCTACAAAAGAGCATGAAGTTTGACCATTTCTGTAGCATCTAGTAATCATTTCTCCAAAGCGCAGAACCTCCCCTAACAGTACACGGCATCACCAGAGATTTCATACCACTTAACAGCTGCCTTTTTAGCGTGAAAACAAAAGCTGCTAAAAATAACTCACACCAATGCTTCTTCTCAAGTGTCAATCAACAGCAATTCCTGCAGTTACTCAAGCGGAGTGCTCTTCATCTGTCCCACACATTCCTG